CCAAGCTTCGCGCCAACGGATTTTCGCTTGGAAAGTCTGAAAAAAATGACGAATGGAAGTAATAACGGCGTCGTTTTTGTGCAGTGCCCACAAATGAGGGCGAGAAATGTGGTGTCAGTCCATTCCTTTCAATCGGATGCACAAACCCTAATATGCGTCTACATTCCGAAAACATGGTTGTACGTTGCCTACGAAAGTGTCTAGGTGCCGAAAGAGACACGAGTACCTCTTGGCCAACCCACGTCCGTACTTTCCCTATCATCACAAGGGCGGGTGCACATGCCCGCAGTGTATTGGAATGAAACGGATACGGTGTAATAATGACGGATGTCAGTCATTATTGCGGGCTCCTTATCAACGGGGGAAAATAAAATGCAGGAAAACCGTTATTTCCTATTTTTTAAACACATTTCGCATGCCACACACCGTTTTACGCTTGGCTAGTGGGTCGAGGCCCCAGCCGAAAGAGGTCGGTGCCAGTTCATTGTTTTTTGGCGCACAGGGCGTTTTCGGCACTGGATAAAAGTGCCTCAGAAGTACTGGTGGCTTAGGACAAGCATCCGTAAGGAAGGCCTTTATCCCTCTGGTCCTTGGTCTCTACAAAACCCTGGGCTTTCAAAAAAACAGAAAAAAAGGGAAAAAAAAAGGAAAAAAAAAATCAAGGCCTCTTTATCCCCAGCGCCCAGACAAAACGAAGGCCAATGTATGAAGTCGAGGAAGGCCTCTATCCCGAGGATGGTGAAGGAATGCCCAGGATCTAGGCCTTGCTGTATTTAATGGACCCACTCTAAAATTGCTGGGGAGTTTTGTTTTGTTTTGTTTTTTTTTTTTTTTTTTTTTTTTTTTTTTTTTTTTTTAATTGCTGGGGAGTTGCACCTCTGGAAATCAGGTCCAATTTACCTTTTAAAAATTTTTAAGACAAGAATTCGTTAGCAGGGCCTGTATCCCCAGACAAAGAAGGTAAATCTACCAAGGGGAGGAAGGCCTCTATCCCCAAGACGAAGAGGGAATGCCCAGGGGCAAGGTTCCACTTGCACGGATTATGAGATGTAGGCCGTTGATCTCGGCGATCTAACGGTCTCTATCTCTTAATTCGTGCAAGTGGGACCTAGCCCCAGGATTGAGGCCGTGTTGTACTGCTGGGGAGTTGCTCCTCTGGCCTGCGGGCCATCAGGATTAAAAAAAAAAAGGGATTTGAACCCCTAACCTGTTTGTTTCCACTCACTGCCAGCAACATGGGGTGCACTTAGTGACTTTTTCCAGGATCTACCGTTGAGGCCCTTTCCCCCCCCTTTTCCCCTATATCTGGTAGATTTCGCAAGAAGATAGGAAGGGCTCGGAGTCCTCGGCGTTCCCTAAGATAGGAAGTAGGGGGTGCACTTGTGAGAATGTTCTGGTTGGGAGGGAGCTCAGGGGCCATGTCCCACTAGCAGCATTGAGCTACCTCAAAGCCTGAATCTGGACGTGTTTGTGGGGAGGTGCAGTTCACGAAACTCAACACCATTTCTGCACATCTCCGTAAAAGCGTCCAGATTCGGGCGTTGAGGATACTCAACGCTGCTAGTGGGACTTGGCCACAGGGGCCTCATGGATAGAAGACGAACTGTTACCTTTGTTTGGGCGGGTTGGGTTAGGGTTGAGAGAGTCGTCAGGATGGCTGTCTCCTGAAGTAATTTCCGATTCCCCCCCGATTCCCCCGACTCCCCCGATATGTGGTTACCTTTTTTTATATTTTCGCATGAATTTTTGACACATGTGCAACATACTATTCTTCACGTTGGAGGTACAGAAATGTGCCATGTCACCCTACAAGGTAATTAGAGTACATCACAGTTGGAGGTCAACCCTTCCCTTACACAGGGAAGTAATCAATGCCCCGGCTGTTTTCTGAGACGTAGGTGTGAACACATGATAGGGAGGCTTCCAGCTTATACCCATCACAATGATATTTCCTCACATCGCTGAATAGGGACGCTGGACCCGATTTCCAGCTCATACACATCATATCCTGTACAGGGACGCTGGACCCGATTTCCAGCAGGTGCAGCTCCCCACCAATAGATGGAGCCTTCGACGCAGGGGCCTACTTACCGGGGATGCTCTTATCACCTGTTAAGTAGGTTTTCCCACAATGTCATGCGAAGTTCCAAAAAAAAAAAAAAAAAAAAAAAACTGTTCCCCTACGATTCGTGAATGTCCTACCGTCTTCCCCCGAACGCAACGCACACTTATTTTGGCTGTATCTGGCCCTAAATATACCTCCTACACATTCATTTTTAGGCTGCGTTATGTTCGGGGGAAGACAGTAGTAAGGATTACAAGGAGGTAGTGGGAACTTAGGAGAGCCCACGTTCGATGAATGGCCATAGAATTGGGAGGAATGATGCTGACTCGGACTGGGTGAGTAGCCATGGTGTTTTTATTTTTTTTATTTATTTTTTTATTTTATTTTTAAGGGTGTTGTAGAGGCCAGTGTGACCAGACACACCAGCGGGCAGCCAATCGTTGTCTGTTTTTTTGTTTTGTTTTGTTTTCCACAAAGACAAACGGTCTCGTTAGACACTCCTCGGAGCGTCCTTGGGGCCCGAGGCAAAATCTTTGGGGTCGCCCAAGGATTTTCTCGCTTTCGTTGCACTCGTTCCTCGGGACGATCTCCAAGGACGCTGCAAGGACGGGCCGCAGGGCAGTTTATCAGAATATACGCAGCCGTGGGACGGGGCAGTGGTTGGTGGTCCAGCGTCTCTTGTCCGGGTGCAAGGTCGTGGTCCACCGCCGGGCCGCTCGAAATTTGAAATGGCTGTGGCGCGCTCGTGAAAATAGGGAAAAGGCGCACGCGCACATGAAATTCGAAATTTGAATTTCGAACGGGGGGGGGGGGGGGGGGGGGGGGGGGGGGGGGGGGGGGGGGGGGGGGGGGATGGTGCCTGCTTCGTAGCAAGTGCAGAGAGCCGTTCGGCCACTGCTCCTCCAGCTCGCGCCTCTGTATTTGGTAAGAGGACGACGCGCAGCACATCGTCGTCCATATGTTTCAAGTGAACTGCTGCCACCACGTGTCCAAAGTCTGCTGAAGTCTTGGCACGCTCGCCATCTCCATCTCCTCGTTCGCCCTCGTGAAGTGCAGGTGGCGGGGGAGCTTCGGGCCGTCGACGCTGTGTGCCTCGGGAGGCCAGTGCACTGTGTTCTGCGGTGGAACCGTCTACAATGGGGAGCGCAGGCGACGCCGACCATCGCATGCTCACCATGGCGGAACGGACTGCGGTGACATCGGCCGTCGCGGTCGTCCTTTTGCGATGCCAGATGGAAAGCGCGGGGGAGAGGATGCGTTCGCGGCTCCGCGCAAGGGCCAGGAAGGCACTTCTTTCCGTGGCGACTGAAGGGGTGGATGCCGCTGCCATCTGGGATGTCGTTCTCGAGGTGCGCTGCGCCCTGGGGTGGGGGGGGCTGCCCAGGGCTACCCCGCGATGGTGGGTGAAGAGGAGGACGGGCGGTGTGTGGGAGGACCTTCGCCCAGCCGACGATGCAGCGGAGGGGTACTTCCGTGACGAGCTGCACATGTCGCCACGTGTCTTCTATGAGATTGTGGTGAACTTGTCGCCCATTTTGCAGCGTTGTGTGACCTTTTACAGGGAGCCGTTGCAGCCAGACCATATCGTCGCCTATGTGTTGTACAGATGGGCCACCGACGAGACGTACAAGAGCAGCACATGCAGTTTCGGCATTGGCAGGGCTTCTGGTGTGGTGGCCGTGAGGGACGTCACAGCGGCCTTGCTTTTGGTGTATGGGGACAACTTGGCCCGCGGGGGTGCGGAAGGTTGTGGTCCTGCGCGCTTTCGCAGACAAGGGTTTCCCCAACTGCCACGGGTGCATCGACTGCACTCACATCTACGTTGACAAACCGGCGAACACGCCCGGTGAAGACTACATGGACCGCAAACGTCGCTTCTCGGTGCAAGCCCAAGTCGTTGTCGACCTCGACCTCCGTGTTTTGGACGTCTTTGTGGGGTACCCTGGAAGCTGCCACGACATTCGGATCCTCCACCTCTCCAGTCTTTGGTCGCTCGCGCAGTCCGGGGAGCTGTTCACGGGGCTTCCTGTGATGCTGCCATTCCAAGTGCTAACAAACGGGTATCCGCTCGGCGACAATGGCTACCCGCCGAGTGAATGGATTGTCGTCCCGTACAGCGGCCTAGCAAAGTATGCGTCGGAGTTCCGCTTCGACAACAAGCAGAAGACCGCGAGGGGGGCAGTGGAGAGGGCGTTCGGGAGGCTCAAGTGCATGTGGCGGTTGTTCCTGCGGACGCATAAGACGAACATGGATACGTTGCCGCAGCAGTTCGTTGCCGTGTGCATTTTGCACAACATCCTCATCGACGTTGGCATCCCTTTGGACGAGAACTTGCTTTGGGAAGTGGACGCCAACGGTGTTCGGCGTCGAGTGGATCTGGGACTCCATCGCCTCCCCCGCCCTCTGTGCATGGAGACTTCGACGGGGGAGGCTATGCTTCTGCGGGATGCGCTGGCAGAGCGTATGTTGGCGACTGGCAGTTTGGGATGGCGGAGATCCATGGGGCCAGAGCGGGATGTCCACACACGGCGGTGATGGAGTGGAGGCGGTGCTTGAAGACGCCTATGATCCGGTCGTCCTCCACTTGTGTAGTATCATTTAGGGAGTGTCCATACGTGGCTAGGTTCTCGCCGGTCCCCGTGATGCATTTTGCAGGGTTATAGGTGTCATGAAGTCCGGATTGTCAACCGGGAGATGGTGCTTTGTTGGTCTGTTCTTTTACTTGGTATTGTGTTCACGTCTCGGCTATGGCTGCGGTTCGACGACGCAGGCGTGCGTGTACTTTCGTTTTCCCCCGTACGCTTACCGTCCATGCGATGTGTTGCGTGTACTTTCATTTTCCCCCTTACTCTTACCGTTCATGCGTGTACTTTCGTTTTCCCCCTTACGCTTACCGTCCATGAAGAGGGGTGGGCGGAGCCGGGGTTTGTTGCTCCCCCTCCGGCCACGGATTGGCCGCATGCTCCAACTCTACCCTCCCCGGCGGAACCGTCTCCCCATTCGGCCCGTCATCAATGCAACACCATAAACAGAATGCAGACAACAGCGCAGGGGCACGCAACACACCGCATCGCAAACTGTCGACCTTTGAAGGCAATGGTGTAGATGTAACATTTGTTCTGGTGATTCATGCACAAAACAAGGCGTATATTGGAATGCAGAAGGGGCACGTCCAAAAAGCACACACCATAGCACGATAACCAAAGCCGCCAGCTGGTGCTGAAATGTTTTTGAAGGAGCTGTCACACCAATCCACACCTTTTTTTATTTATTTTTTTTCCGTTTTTCTGTTTCTTGCGCAACCAGCAAAGGAAAGAAACAATTGAGAAAAAAAAACAAAAAACTTAACTTAAGAAACACCAAACTGCACGAAGAAGTACAGAAAGCTTTTGTGACAGCATACCATGACAGCAAAACCATCGTTTTATGGAAGCAATTTTTAATGAAATGAACACCATTCTCTGTTTGCTGATTAAAAAAAATAAAAAATAAAACTCTCTCTCTCTCTCTCTCTCTCTCTCTCTCTCTCTCTCTCTCTCTCTCTCTCTCTCTCTC